ACTAGGTCAACCAAATGAAAATACTCAAAATATTTAAATTTCTTGCTCAAGTATTCTTCATTGTAGACGCCCTCCTATTATCATCGATAAAACCGATAATAAAACTAGGTGCAATTGTAGATTAGTTATCTTCGATGGAATGATCATATGGATCATTCAGTAGTTAGACGTTAAACAAACCAAAAAAAAAAACTAATCAGCCAAGGAACATTTCGGACTGAATTCATAATATGGTATTGCATACATGTTCGTGGACGTGGACTATTCACCACTATACTATATTTCCGAAATAGCAGGCAGGAAATTCTCAGAAATCACTGACATTTTTGCCTTAATTTGTCTCTTGCAGTGGCGTATGGAAATTATACTGAATCGATGGGGAAAAGTATATAGAAAAATATATAGAATCACAACCTGACAACAACGTTTTCGTTTTAATGCAATAATATTTCGGAGAATTTAGTGCCTAGAGTATAGATAATTGTATATCTTTCATTGTTCAGTATGAATACTAACTTCTCCAATAACATACGTTCAATATCTGCATAACACACGTCTTTGCACAATCAAAATGCCATTACAACGTACTGTAGATTTACCAAAAGTTCATATCATACTAGTACTATGTTGCTGGATCGCTGCTGTTCCAATGTTTTGACATAATCAGAATCAACGAACTTAGGCGTGCGCAGCGTTATAGAACAGTGCTTTCAAAAAATTGTTCTACAGTGCCATCTAGTGGCGTGTTTCAGAAAAATTGATAGTCTAAAAACCGTCTCTATGAAAAATTACCTACACATGTCAAGTTTCATCACGATCGGTTGAGCGATGTAGAAGTTTATCACTTACCAACCAACCAACAAACATCCATTTTTATATATAAGATTGTTGTTAATCATGCCATAAAGAAAATAACGCTGGCCGCCACTAGTACCCATAAACCAATTGTGACGTAGTTAAGAGCGCGCTAATGTTCGATGTTCGCTGCCGTTCTAGATGTAGCAAGAATAATGCTACCGGCTTCGATGGAATTCCGAAAAAGGTTCCAGCACCTTCGATTGCCAAATATAAGCGCTATCCACTCGCTCATCGAGGCAGTCAAGTGGAAGTTACATTGCGGTACGCGTAACGATCTAATAAAGCGATATACATTTGAATAATAGTTAAAGTGTTTGTTGTATTTGAAGTGAAATGAAGTTGAGTTTGATTATTGGAGAAATGGTTAGTGCAAGTGCAGATATAGCTGTTGGAGATTTGTACTATACCTCATATATACTCGACTTAATGGATTTAAGTGTTCCTTACAACACAGAATGTCTTACGTTTCTCACACCGGAATCACTAACAGATAATTCTTGGAAAACTTTGATACTTCCTTTCTCGTAAGTGAAAAACACATTCATCTTCGCAGGGTATTCCAGAAATATGTATTCAAACTACTACAGAATATTCGCTGTAACAACAGAAGGTATTTCAGTCCAATAATAAATTTTCAAGCAAGTCAACGGTCATGCACCTCTACACGTCGTCGTTTAAATTCTGAACATTTTCTTTAGTTTTATTACTATACATTGAAATAGGATGATTTAAAACACTAAAAAACCCATTTTTGATCAATTTCAATGAAAATTACAATCTGAAATGAACCCTACAGCTAATAAATACTGCAAAGGATGCAATAAGAATCATCGCGTAAAAACTCAAAAGTAGATAAAACAGGGAAAAAACTACTTGAGTACTCAATATGTATGCAATTTCTATAAAAATAGATATAATAAANTAATTGGAGAAATGGTTAGTGCAAGTGCAGATATAGCTGTTGGAGATTTGTACTATACCTCATATATACTCGACTTAATGGATTTAAGTGTTCCTTACAACACAGAATGTCTTACGTTTCTCACACCGGAATCACTAACAGATAATTCTTGGAAAACTTTGATACTTCCTTTCTCGTAAGTGAAAAACACATTCATCTTCGCAGGGTATTCCAGAAATATGTATTCAAACTACTACAGAATATTCGCTGTAACAACAGAAGGTATTTCAGTCCAATAATAAATTTTCAAGCAAGTCAACGGTCATGCACCTCTACACGTCGTCGTTTAAATTCTGAACATTTTCTTTAGTTTTATTACTATACATTGAAATAGGATGATTTAAAACACTAAAAAACCCATTTTTGATCAATTTCAATGAAAATTACAATCTGAAATGAACCCTACAGCTAATAAATACTGCAAAGGATGCAATAAGAATCATCGCGTAAAAACTCAAAAGTAGATAAAACAGGGAAAAAACTACTTGAGTACTCAATATGTATGCAATTTCTATAAAAATAGATATAATAAATCATCATTTCAAATGGGGTGAATGAAAACGTTCAAACTGCCATGAAAATATAATGAATTCAACGATTTTATTCATAAAAATGAAATAAATCAATCTGAAGACTTTTGAAGCAGATTAAAAATAAAATATTTATAGAAAATCCATATATACTTTTATATCATTATGTTGAGAACTTAATATCTACTTCTGAAGAAGTTTCGAAACTCAGAGAAATCGATCTCTTTTCCATTTTAATATTCCACCTCTATAGATATTACTGCACTAATTTACAGAAAAACATATTGAAAGTTGTCTGTTTAACTTCATATACTTTTTTAAATTTGTATTTATCCAGTTGAATAACTTAATTTGATATATACTTATAACAATTTACTGATTATTATTATTAACTGGTCTGTATTGAAATTATAGAGAGCTATCGAACGTCTTATTGTGCTGAACAAGTCCCCGAAACATTTAGTGAAGTTAAAACACCATGTATCGTCCCCCTAGTCTGCAGCATTCATGCATTATTTTATAAAAAATGAAATTGAGTGCTCAAAAACATATGAAATGTTGACAGGGGCAGACGGTGATGGTACTCTGAGTCTGAAAAACAATGACAAGTAAAAGCTTTTCACAGAAAGCTTACCCTAGATGCCCCAGCACATCAATAACCGATGAAAATGTTGAGGAAGTGAAGGAATTTTTTATGAAGAATCGTCGAATCACTATTAGAGAAGTTGCTGAAGCGTGTGGCAGCAAAGTTTGTTTCAAAATTGCTGAATTTCAACCAAAAATTCCTCTGACAAATTGTTGAATGACTTCAACGGCGATCCAGATTTGCTTAGAAGGGTTATAACTGGTGATGAATCATGAGTATATGGTTAGAACATCGAAACAAAAGTACAATCGTCCAAACGGAAGGGCCAATACCAAAAAAAAACACCAAGTTTGATCGAATGGCAAGATTTTGTTCAATGAATGATGAAAACATGAAAATTCTACATACATGCTTAGACTTTGTTAGAAGCTTTGGAAATGAATGAATTGTATAAAAACACAAATTTCAAAACCCTATGTCCATTTTCGAAGACTATTTGGATGATCTACCTTTGGCTAACTATAACAACATCTGGTTTCAACATGATGATGCTCCACCGCACACTACCAGGCGAGTATCTAATTACCTGATTGAAAGGTTTGGTGATAAATGGAAAGGGAATTATGAGGTGAGGTAACCAGCAAGGTCTCCAGACTTAAATGTTATGGATACATTCTTATGGAAAACATAGAGTTTATGGTCAGAGGGAATATTAAAATATTGAGGACTTTCAACACAGCACTGTTAGAGAGTTCGGTAGATTGAGGAGGGAATAATATTCAAAGAAGGGCACAGTTGTGTTATCATGAACAAGGCCAGCATTTTGAGCATTTGCTGCGATTTACTTTTGTCTTTATATTTTAGTCAATTATTATTATTTGTTCAAAGTTTTATTTTCATTGAAAAGGACACAATGTCTAATTTATCTCATACACACTTCATTCATCAAATTTTGATTGTTGACTCTGTCTTCGTATTTCTTCATTGGCTTTTCAAGCAAACCAAACTCGGTGAGATTTTGATCCAATAACTTGAACATGGTTTCGATGTGGTTTTCGTCTTTCAGGATACAAGTTTAAATACATTTCCGATGTCCTAACACTGTTCCTATCGTATTTGTAATAAATTTGTATCATATCTTTTTTTTCTTCTTTCGTGAAAGCCATTTTTCGCCAAAAATTCAATGACGTATAAAAATAACAAAATGTTATTGAGTGTAACAAATTGAAATTTAAATTTAGAAACATCCAAGTGAAAGCCTGTTATGATAAGAATTTTTTTTTTTCAATATCTCCAATTTTTCGAAAAAGAATGATAACTTATGATACATCATTGAAAATGTAAAATCTGGTTCTATTCAAAACAGAAAGAATCCAATGTAGCGCCCATGAGAAAACATTAAGTTGATGACGGTGGCTAGAAGACGAAACGTCGGATAGCAAATCTGAAAGCACCATAATGTAGCAGGAAAAAAGTGGCGATATGGAAGTGCAATTTATTTTCGAATCCTTCAAATAAAAACCATTTTTCGAAATTTCTGTTTATTCCGGATATCTCCGGATATACTCGAAATTTCAGAACTTTCTCAACAGCATATTGTTAGTCAGGTGAATGCGCAACTTTTCCCCAATTTAACCATCTTCGTATCTCTCATAGTTTCCGAGATCCCAGTGGTGAGGATCGAATTTGAAACACCCTGTATGTTACGTTGATACAGGTGGACTGACTCAAATGGCGCTTATTTACATTGAATTGAATTGAATTGAATTGAATCAGTATTCACTGAGATATTACAGTTTAAAGTAGACTCATAAAAACGAACACAACTTTTGAACCAATATTTGATATGGACTTTATTCTATCAGAGGTTCGAAAATATCTAACTTTAACCCCCATAATGTAATTTTGGAAGCATTTCCACTGCGCATCAACATCGTGAGCATAGTTATAAATTGATGCCCATTAAAAATTCCCATTATTGAAGTTCCATTAGTTATTGAATCGTTGAAAGTTCTGAAAGAATACTAGTTTCTAAAATCCAAGTATGAATAGTTTCCTTTTCCAAATGGCCAAACTTCAGGGGATAAATGTTCTTAACGGGCTATATTATATAAAACTTTTGTGTTTCAGATATCGTGCGCTAGACACAATGTCTAAGTACATTCTCCTGTTTGATATCAGACTTTTAGATAAGACGCTGTTTTATCTCTGGAAAAGGATAATAAATGTAATTTTCATTAAAGAACATGCTGTTATAGATTCATCTGGAAATGATCTAAGCTGGTTCGAAATCATGACTGTACCTTTCCCTCTTCCAATAAATAATATTCTTATACCTTGGAAAGTCGATATCTGGGCTCATTCGAAATTCAGAAAAGGTAGGTTGGTGATTCAAAAACAGTTTTTTTTCAACAAGCAGCTTTGAACGAAACAAACAAGTCTCCAAAACTGACAAAGAATAATCGTTCAAATTCACTTGGACTCCAAATGTACTGAAGCACGCAAAGGTTTTTTTCACTTTTCAGTTGAAGTCTCACAAATTTATTATTTTATTCTTCGAATAATCAGTTGATTATATTTCATATTATATCTGTCGATTTAATTTGTGGCGAATGCAGTTCCTTGTATAAAAGATCTGTTAAAATATGTTTTTCCCTTAACCTGCTGTCGCTCCCCTACGGACGACAACTCTAAAAAAGTCGAAACTTATGCGAGCTAAGGACTAACGAGTTCTTACGTTTTAACGTGTGATTCCTAAGACGGGTTGGACGAAAGGAAGTGAAAATCGATAGCCCAGCCTTGCGGTTCGTAGCACCGGTTCACTTAGCACGATAGACGTTGAACACAGTTGGTGCCTGAGGGAGCAGATGTCTGTCAACCCCAGCAAAACTGTGATAATCCCCTTCACCAGGAGGAGAAAATTGGACGTTCTAAGGCTACTTTCCCTCAATGGTGAAGTTATTTCATTTGGAACAGAGGTGAAAATCTTGGCATTGTCCTTGATAAAAAACTCACCTGGAACGCTCACTTGGAAAAAGTTTTACACAAAGCCAGACTGTCCTTATGAACATGTCAAAGGATTTGTGGTAAATCTTGGGGTTTAGGTTTCAAACGAATCCATTGGATTTATGTGATGATTATCACACCACTAATCACTCATGGTGCAATTGCCTGGTGGCCGAAGAGTTCACAGAAAACGGCCCAGGCGAAGCTCTCTGGCTTACAGAGACAGGTCACCGGCTTCGAAGATCCACTTAGCCTCTCTCTTCACATTTTTCTGGAGAGAGAGGCTAGGTGAACTGCATATAGACTTGTGCACATTGCCGAATGCATAAATCAATTTGATGCAAGTGCAACAGACTCTTGATTGACAGATAGTTGTTGGCTCACAGATGGATCAAAAACACCTTCTGGTTCTGGTACAGGTGTTTTCAGTCGCAGACCCAGTACAGAGATATCAACCTGCCTAAGAACCTATGCGACTGTATTTCAAGCGGAAATTCACGCTATCGAATTGTATGTGGAGATATTGGGAGAATCCAGCCTCATACACAAGTCAATAAAAATATTTTTGGCGTTGGAAGCTCCTGGCTCCTATCGAGCAATTGTTAGCAAATTGCCAAAAAACGACTCTCCTCGTTAGGAAGACTCAAGAGATTGTCTCTGGTCTGGATTCTTGGCCATACTGGCCTGAAAGGCAACGAGGCTGCTGACTCCCTTGCAAAGGAGGGTGCTGCAAGCAGCTTCATCAGACCAGAACCTGTCATTGGCATCGCTTTAGGCTTTGCCAGGATTGAACCCCTGGATGGCAAGAAGATTTATGGACTTCTGGCAGAATCTTCCAGGATTGGCTCACTCCAAGGCGTTTATTCACCCTTCTAAACTTGATACCAAACAGTTGTTGGACTACAGTAGGAATGAACTACGATGTCTAACAGGCCGTCTTACAGGTTACTGTCATTTGAATCATCATATGCAGAGACTCGGACTGTCGGCAGACAGTGTGTGTCGTCTCTGTTTGGAAAATGATGAAACAGCAGCGCACATACTATGCGGGACCAAATCAGGTTTTTGGAATTCGGCAGAGCCGTACTCTCAGCATCTGTCCTGAAAGGCCACTCACAAGCTAATCGACTTCGTTAAGAAACTGGGTTTATTTGGTCGAGTGTAAATAGGTATGAGCCACAATAAACCGTTGCGGGTTGCGGTGGAGGGTCGAATAGACTCACTCAGTTTGGACCTAACCTAGCCCAACGTTAGGAAGTGAAAATCGATTGTCCGGCCTTGCGGTTCGAACCACAGGTTCACACAGTGGTCGAATGAGTGTGTCGAGCAAACCATCTACGTCAACTCACCAGGCTACCGTCCTACCGACGGTAGGTATACCTACTCTATTGAGAAACGCACATTGCCGAGATAAGATGAATCTTTAGGAAAGAGAAGTTTTGGCTTTCCACTTCTTCATCTTCATACAAAAAAGTGGGAATCTTCAAAAGAAAGAAGTAATCAATTTCACTAAATTGAATCTTCACAGAGATATGTAGATCATGCAAAGATGTGAGTTTCAGACATAACCTGGATGAAAAAGCCGTCTCGAAATACTTACTTTCAAACTCGTATAAACATTGAGTTACACTACTTTCATATGAACACTGAATTATACAACTGGATTATACTCGTCATGGAATTGAATCAGATATCATCAACAGGATTGCTACACAATATAGTAAAATTTCACTTGCATCCTCAATGGTGGACATCCGATGTTTCGACGTTAAACACTTGCCTTATCAGCTCTTCAGTACCAATCTGGATAACATCATAAAATGAAGCACTCAATTCTCTATATAGGTACAAATATGTATAGATCATGCAGAGAAGCAACTTTCAGGCACAAACTGAAAGAAAAACAGCTAGTTTCATATGAACATTGAATTACATGAAAGAAACAATACTTTCCAGACAACTTTTTAATGAACACAGAATTATAGAAAAACCACTTTTCTCTATTCAGTAGCTGTTTCGAAAGGGGTTTTTTTGCAGTTTGTGTCTGAAAGTAACTTCTTTGCATGATCTACACATCTTTGTATAGAGTTAATGTTTTGGAATTGAATAATTCCTTTCTTTATTTAGGAGATTCTCATATGTTTTTTTATAAAGATGGAGAAGTAGAGAGCCAAAATCTTTCTTTCCCAAGAATTATTCTCTCTTAAAAATATACCCCTTTCAATTCAAACAGGATGAATCTACAATGTGAATTTCCTTTAATTGAGTTCATAATGTTTCGAAGATGTGAGTGGAACGCAAATGGAATTTTCAATGATCGAATGTAGATTTTACTCAATAAGTTTTCATCTTAGTAGAAACATCGTAGTTTTAAAAATATTCCGATTGATTTCAGGAACTATATCTTCCATATTAGGTATTAAAATATATTGGTTTTAGGAGCTGAGCTTTTTAGAGACAAAACCTCAGATTTACAAAACCAAACATTGAAAGTGATTGTTTTTCCCCATTTACCAGGCGTCACTAGAACAAATGCTTCAGATGGAGTTAGGGCACTGCTAGGTAGAAATGAAAATAATACTACCACCAAATTTCATGGAGTTGAGATTGAAGTGAGTACTATTTACTAAGAATCAGTAAGGTCCAACAAAGTGAAACAGAATTAATGGTAATTTTTTTCTTCGAATATCGTGAATTCAAATTATATGTATTTCAAGAGAGATTTTTAAAACGTTTTTTTAATTGTCAAATGTAGGTATGTTTAACTTTCATGGTATATCAACAACCTTCTGAATTCTTTGAGAGTTTTTTGCAGAGTTAAATTACTTTTGTGTTTTGGCTTGTTAGTGGCTTGCAAGGTTTGTAATTCGAATTTTCTTTATCAATGCACCATCAAAGTAGGCTGGACAATTATTTTTAAATTTTATCGACAATTTTGGCACGCAGCGATCAAATACACTGTATAATTTTTCATAAAAGTGAAGACAGGCATCATCTACATTGCGAAATGCATTTAGAAATATCCAATCGAGATTGGGGATCAGCTCATACATGAGCGGAAAGTTAACTTTTTTAAAATTGTTTGCATCTTGGAAACATGATGCAAATTTATTCTTCGAGTTCGTTTTGAAATTCAGTTCGCATGTTATTTCCAAAGCAGGATGATGACCGTCCTCTTTTACTAATGGATTTAGGGATTTTTCAACGAGGCAGAAGTGATTGCAGAACACCAGGTCTAAAAGTCTGAACATCTCATTGAAAACAAAGTTATTTTGCGATAAGCCGAAAAACTCTGACGTGTTGTTCAAAAAAGTAGTATGCGGGCTACTACGATCTGTTTCTGAATATGACGCATATTCAGGTACGTTGAAGTCCCCAGCCATCAGAATTGCATGGTCATACAGTGGGTCAAACGATTCTACAGCTTCCCATAATGTTTCAATTTCATTTAACTTATTAAATTCTTTTGTCATCAAAACTAAATACTTGTACAAAATACAATGAGTCAACAGAAAGAGGTTCAAACTTCAACTACTGAATTTAACCCAAACAAGTATGCCAAGCTGAATAAAACCGTTTAATAATAAAAACTACTGAAAGGTGTCACCATTTGATGAAGTGATTGAAAAGGGTGGTTTTAGTGTATGATTTTGTGTGAATTGCTTTGAATATGATGATATCCAAGCGAAGTCGGGGCTACGATGCTATTCGTGCTAAGCCGGGGGGCTTTTATAGAAACCGCTGCCTAATCAGTTTGAGATATAACTGACCAATCCGCTACATATTCTACTATTTTTATAGGTGCACAGAAAAGTACGCTATGGCATACGTTTATATTCAAATGCAGCGGGGGCGTTAGTATACCCCTGCCGGGTCAAATGTCAGCAAAAAAAATTTGAATCTACCTAAATGATGACCTCATTCTAACCGAAAGGATGTATGACTTTCGAGTCCACTAACGGAACTTTGAGATACCAGGAGTTCTCTTATCGAAGAAAGCTTCGCTCGGTAGGCTCCAGTGTTGTTTTCCTAGTCACTTATGGAATCCTTTATTGACCATGAAGTCACCAAAGAATCCGACTCTGAGTCTAAGCAACCCTATCTGTCTTCCCTGTAACAATGGATCAATAGCAAGAATAAACAAACAAACCTAGAAGGCTAAAAAATATACTTGAACGAGTATTCACCTACACCAGTGGTGAAAAATCCTGCATAGCTGTACCTGATGTATCGTTATGTATAGCTGGCTGACAGGCGCCTTCATATGGGAAAGTTGCTGAGGTCATTAGGTAGATAATTTTGCACCTTGAACATTTGACAACCGCAATATCGACCAATGAACTAAAATCCCATCAGTATGCCATATTCAGAAGATAGTTCACAGGTATAAATTCAGAGAGGCACATTCCAAGCTGGATGGTTACAGGTTACCTTAGAGGATCAGAAGGGCATCTTCTAGCTGGTAGGTGCAGTTGGTACTCTGCAACCATGGGGGGTATCTTCCTAAAATGCGTCACAGGTGTAGTTGGTTATCTGCAGGCATGGGATGATATCTCCCTGAAATGCGTCAGAGACCTTCTCAAGTTACACCATGTGTGTTGCCCACCTGACGAAGGTAGTTACAGACTGACCATAGAATACTAATATTCTGTGGACTGACCGCTGATCAAGCTCTCAGTAGATCAAGCTCTCAGTAGATTGGGGAAAAGGTACCACTTTAACCTTGAAGTGGATTAATTTTCACAAGAAAATTCTGGCTTTGGTAGCTGAGCTGCGTCTGCGCCACCGTGGATCACATACACAGTATTACAATGTGGCCGAAATTTCCCAAAACGATGTGCTGAACATGGAAGCTCCTTCAGACTAGCTGAACGTTTTCAAACCATTTCTTGGAATGCAACCACAAGTACCCGAATCTAAACAATACGGAAATTTTGCGCTGTGCAGACAAGGGTCGGAAACTCAATTTTTTGGAATCTTCAGAAATTCATCAACATAAGTAATCATTGTGGATGTAACTTACTAATGACCACTGCTTTTTCTTATTTATGCGAACGACTTGATACAATACCTAAATAGTCTTTCGAAGGTACATATAGTTGCATATGCAGACGATACAAATGTTCTGGTCGCTGATCGTAAAACATTAGCACTTGCAGAAACAACAGAATCCATATGTGAAAAAATAATGGAATGGTCTGATAAAAATTATTTAGCACTAAATATCAGCAAAACAGCATGAGTAAAATTCTCAATGCAGAACACCACCGAAACTCTCGAAATATATGAAGATAGCCCATTAGAGGTGACATCCAACCCAGAAACAAAAATGCTAGGTCAAATTCTAGATCATAAGCTCAATTGGATTCCTCATATATATTCACTATGTGATAAACTACGAAAGAACTGTTATTCACTAAGATTTATGTCGAATTAATGTGGAAGAGAGGTTGTCCTAAATCTGTATTATGCAACTATTGGCTCTCACTTGCGCTATGGAATCTTGAATTGGGTTATGAGCTCCTCTGCTGAAAGTATTTATTTTACAAAAGCGCGCGGTCCGAATAATTGCTAATTTAGGATGGCGACACCCATGCAGAAGCTCATTGAAAGAGCTGGAAATACTCACAGTTGCTGATCTGTATATATGATATGTGTCTCTACGTTTATTAGAATAGAGAAAAATTTAGAGCGAACCAACAAGACCACCCATACGCAACTAGAGCTAGAGGGTTGCTGATAGCGAATCCTCAACGAACCTCTCTCTATTAGAAGAGTCACCTATACCTTGGACCCAAACTATATAACAAGCTAGATGTTTCTATTAAGGACTCAATGAATATCTGCATATTCAAAACACAATTGGAAAAATATCTCATTGAAAGAAACTGCTATACCGTTGACGAGTTTTAATAGTTACTCTCGATAAAAAAATTGTTAATTACCTTTATATGCCCAGTTTAATATCCGTCATGTTTTGTTGTTTTATATACATAGTCGTTTTTAGTTATACATAGATGTCTTTCTTGTTACTGTATGTGAATGTAAATGTTTATTGTAATGCTTTCATACTGTTCAACAAGTGAAATAAATATTATTATTATTGTTGTTGCTGTATAGGTATATAAGGGTGTACATTTTAAATTATTTCAGTTTATTGTATTCGTTTGGGAATAACCTTGTAAGACGAAACTGCAGTAACGTTAGTTACAAATTCAAGTGGTATAAAAACGTAGGAAGTTTGAATTCTCATTTTTCATGATGATCTCCTACCACATAGTAACGGCTACATCCATAAATTTACTAATTTATATGTCCTGATATTCATTTATTAATCCATGCACTATTTTATAAGCAGATTCTCCAAGCTGTTTCGAAGACAATGAATTTCAAATGCGATGTGTACGAAGCAGAAAATTCAGATACAGAGCTCTGGGGTAGAAAATTAGATGGAGGCTTATATACTGGAATAATTGGAGAAATGGTTAGTGCAAGTGCAGATATAGCTGTTGGAGATTTGTACTATACCTCATATATACTCGACTTAATGGATTTAAGTGTTCCTTACAACACAGAATGTCTTACGTTTCTCACACCGGAATCACTAACAGATAATTCTTGGAAAACTTTGATACTTCCTTTCTCGTAAGTGAAAAACACATTCATCTTCGCAGGGTATTCCAGAAATATGTATTCAAACTACTACAGAATATTCGCTGTAACAACAGAAGGTATTTCAGTCCAATAATAAATTTTCAAGCAAGTCAACGGTCATGCACCTCTACACGTCGTCGTTTAAATTCTGAACATTTTCTTTAGTTTTATTACTATACATTGAAATAGGATGATTTAAAACACTAAAAAACCCATTTTTGATCAATTTCAATGAAAATTACAATCTGAAATGAACCCTACAGCTAATAAATACTGCAAAGGATGCAATAAGAATCATCGCGTAAAAACTCAAAAGTAGATAAAACAGGGAAAAAACTACTTGAGTACTCAATATGTATGCAATTTCTATAAAAATAGATATAATAAATCATCATTTCAAATGGGGTGAATGAAAACGTTCAAACTGCCATGAAAATATAATGAATTCAACGATTTTATTCATAAAAATGAAATAAATCAATCTGAAGACTTTTGAAGCAGATTAAAAATAAAATATTNTCATCCATCCCACCCCAGCCAGGTAGGGGTATCCCGTGAAGGGCGGCACTGATGTCTTAGGACTTCATGCCGTCATCTATCAGTTGTGTACCCATTGGTCCCTCTCAAGGCCAATAATCAGCCAAAAGGGTAGGGGAGCTGGTCTCCAAACCTGGATGAAATCAGGATGACTCGTCACTGACTCGTCACTGACTCGTCACTTTTATATCATTATGTTGAGTACTTAATATCTACTTCTGAAGAAGTTTCGAAAATCAGAGAAATCGATCTCTTTTCCATACAGAATCTAAAACATTAGACCAGCTGTTTGATATTACACCTCTATAGATATTACTGCACTAATTTACAGGAAAAACTATTGAAATTTCAGAAAATGATGTGACTCTTGATATTAAATTTGTTGAAGTATATGAATGATGAGAAATAACAAGAAATAAGAAATGAATCGTTGATTATTGACTGTGATTCAGTGTTCCAAAACATTTCATATTTGTTGTGAAAAATTTAAAAAATGTACTTCTATATGGATATTTACCATAATATGAATCCCAAATACCCCTGGATGGCAAG